TTCTGGATATTAAACCCTTAACAAATTTACGATTTGTAAATATTTTCTCACAGTTTGTAAGGTTTTTTTTTCATTTTCTTGAAAATATTCTTCAATGCACAAATGTTCTTAATTTTGATGAAGACTAATTAATCATTTTTCTTTTGTTCCTTGTGCTTTAGGTGTCATATCTAAGAATACATTGTCAAATCCGATGGATTTGGTCATAAGGATTTACCCCGTGTTTTCTTCTAAGAGTTTTGTGGCTTAGCTTTTGTATTTAGGTCATTCACATGTTTTGAGTTGATTTTTGTTTGTGGTGTGAGGTAGAGATCCAATTTAATTCTTTTGCTTGTGCAAATCCACTGGTCCCAACACCATCTATTGAAGATACTATCTTTTCTCTATTGAATGCCCGTGGCACCCTTGTTAAAATTAGTTGGTGATAGGTGCATGGGTTTATCTCTGGACTGTCAATACTATTCCATTGATCTGTATGTCTGTCTCTATGCCAGTATAATGCTGTTTTGATTACTGTAGCTCTGCAGAAGTTCTGAAATTGCAAAGTGTGAATCCTCCAACTTTGTTCTTCTTTTTCAAGATTGTTTTGGCTATTCAAGGCCCCTTCCACTTCCATATGAATTGGAGAATTTTCTTTTCTATTTCTGCAGAAAACTGTTGGAATTTTGACAGGAACTGCATTGAATCTATAGATAGCTTTGGGTAGTAGTTACATCTTAATATTAAATCTTTCCATCCATGAACATAAGATGCCTTTCCATTTATTTAGGTCTTTTTTACTTCTTTTAGCAATGATTTTCAGTTTTCAATGTACATACTCTTCACCTCCTTAGTTAAACATATTCCCAAGTATTTTATTCTTTTGAATGTTATTTCAAATAGAATTGCTTTCTTAATCTCCCTTTTATATTTTCATTGCTGGTATATGAAAACAACTGACTTTTGCATGTTGATTTTGTACCCTGAAGCTTTTCTAAATTTGTTTTTAGCTCTGATAACTCCCTAATAACTTTCCATATATAGGACCATGAATACAGATAGTTTTACTTCTTCCTTTCCAATTTGGACGCTCTGTATTTCTTTTTCTTGTCTGTTTCCACTAGAACTTCCAGAACAATGTTGAATAGTGGTAGTGAAAGCAGGAATTCTTGTCTCACATCTGATTTTGGGGGAAAGTCCCTATACCAGGCTCCATCCCAAACTCTTTACATATTTTAGCTGATTTAATCCTCAGATCCCTCAGAAAGAAAACGAAGGCTCAGACGCTCCAGGCTCCATCTCGTATAGCCAGTTTGAGGCAGTCAGCCAGACCCAGAGTGGCTTAATTCCAAACCCTTTGCTCTCCCCACCATAATAAACTGCCACAGTCTGGCTGGAGTCTCATATAAGTGAGCACATCCCAGGCAACAACATCTACCTGGTTTTTCTCTTTCTTACATCAGACGCTTCTCCAGTCTCAGGTCAGACACCTAATTCTGAAATCCTACAGTGGAGCCTTAGGACAGTTTCCCAAAGGACGGCCCTTAGCCCCCAGGTGGAGAACCACCTTGCCCCACTCTCAGCCGCAGGTGTCAGCAGGGCCCCAGAGGAGGGCTGTGTAGTTTGTGCACTGCGCAAAAGTGCATGACTAGGGGGTAAGTAGGGGTTAAGTATCCAGCCTGCTTTGGTCCTGTGGGTCCCTGGGGCTGTGACTTCCCAGAGGGGCATCATCCTTTTTTAAATTCCTACAAAGGTACCATATCTGCTAGCATTGGGGCTGTCCTTTAGGTGAAGCTGACTAAGCCCCTGGGCTCTAGAGAAGTTACATGTGACAGAACTTAGCTAAACTAATGATCACTTTCTATCCTCCTGGCCATGGTGATTGACTGAAGAATGAGAACATAACTCATGTCAGGAGATTCTCGGCTGATGAGGCTTAATTTGGAGGCTTCTGCTTGAGGGCTGTGGATTTCTTTCCTGATAAGGTGAGAGCTGGAGCTGCTGCAGCCATCTTGCACCTAGATGGCGTTTGATAATGACTTAATTCCCAGAAAAGGTCAAAAAATTGCAGAGAGAGAGAACCCTATCTTGGTGACATTGTTGAGCCCTTGATCAAGTTATGCCAGAAGCCCCATCTACTTACAGACTATGGATTAACATACACCAATAAACTCTTTTTTTGCTTGAGACAGTTTAGGCCAATGTCAGTTGTGACCAAACGCACACAGACTATTCCACACATACCCCCTCCCATGCCTGCTTCCTAAACCTCTTCTTGCATTTATATTTTCACCATAGTACCTGTCACTTTCTCATACTACATTATTTACTTATTTAGTTAATTGTCTTCCTACCTCCACTCCTCATCCCTGCTGAAATGTATGTTCTAAATGGCAAAGAATTTCACCTGCTTTGTTCACCGATGGATTCCCAGCTCCTGAAATAAGTTCTTAGCGCATAGCACACATTCAATACAATTTTGTAGGACGCTCTACCTCTTCAGTGAATTATTAAGGATTACTAAAATTCCATATGCATAAATGACAATCAGCACAGGCCGGGAGTTGACCAAGGACCATCCCAGCCTCAAAATAAGACATGTGACTGCTGGTCCATGTCTGGGAAGGCTTTGAAGCTCACACTATGCACATGTACGTGCAGATTGTTGGTATCTCAGCCATTGCAGGCAGGGGGCTTAGTTACTGTTACATCACCTAGATTGCTTTAAGTTGGTGGAGCTTTTCAATTGCCGTTCTTTCTAAATATATTTTTCATATAGTATCAGAATGACAGGTTTCACTTTCTTTTGTGTTGGTATATCTGCTGTTTGTTACTTTTTGGATTTTTGTTTTGCCCATCTCTACTTCTTTGCTATCGTGAGGTATTTTTTTTTTCCTCTGGAGAGTACAGATAAAGTAAGGGAGGGAGGTGGGCCACGGCATCTCTTGTCTCTCATCTATGCCATAGAAAAAACTGAGCACCTCTACCTTTTGGGGCTATTCTCTCATCCACGTTTCCTTTACCTTCTTTTAGTTCTTACAGGCAATAGCACAGAATCTGGCACTTAGTCTAATAAGGCTCTTATATGGCTCCTATGAGTCTGGCACTCCTGGTTTATTTGCCATCTCCATCATGGAATCTGATACTTTGTTTGATTCTCCCTTGGGAGTTGGTGGTCGATTTTTGCTGATGCTAACTAAACGATTGGTAAGAATGACTCTTCTCTATCTGCTCATCCTCTTGTCTGAACTCTCACTATTAAAAGATTTATCCTTTGGGTTAGCAAGGTTTTTAATGCTTGGGAGGAGCAATATGTTATGTCTGATGTTTTCGTCTTTGATAACCAAAACAGTGACAGGATTTTGATGAGAGGAAGGAAGAAGAAGGAAGGGGAGGAGAAGAGGGTAGAGGGTAGAACTCTGTTTCACTTCCCCTCTCTTCTTTTAGCCAGCATCTGGTACCTGGTCTTAGCCCGCTTAGGTGATCAGAGGGCATCCTCAGGTTGGGGTGAAAGACTGTGTTTACCGGTCGGCAATGTGCTGTGGGTGAAGCCAGTGGTCCTTGGCAGAGCCTGGACTGCAGGGCCGAGCCACTGTCCTCTCCTCTCTGGTGGTGTTCCCTCTAACAAATGGGAATGCGATCACACCAAAGCCACATTTTCTCCAATTGTCAAGTCTGTCTTATTTCCTCTTAAATTTTCAAGTAGATTCCTGACCTAGGGAGCCATGAATCTCTGGGAGAAAAAATGACCTCCTCGGTATTGGAGCCACCACCTCATAAGGAATCTCCAACCTCACAAGGCCAAGAGACTGGAGCAAGGCCACCGGGGTTGTTAGTGGCTGGAGAGAGAAGAGCAGCCAAGGCCAGTGAGCTCCACCACACCTGCCGTGACTGGCATCCTCCTTCATCAGCTGCGGTGCTGACAATGAAAGTGCCTCCCACCCACTCACCCCTGCTTAGAGGCTGCCTGAGCATGTCACCTCCATCTCTCTTCTCTCCAACCAGGGCTGCTGCGGGGGTGGGGCACAGCTGTTCTGAAGAGGTGGGAGGCAGCGAAACCGGGAGGACAGAGATGAAGAAACACTGGGTGTGTTTCCTGAGTCTTGTTTCACCTTTTCACTCTCATCACCGCTGAATTGGACAGAGCAATCTTCTCGGCATACAAATCTTTATTAAAAGAATGGCCCTGGGGTTTATGGTCCACATCAGCCTGGCAGAGACTCCATGGTAGATGTTCCCCGATGGTAAATGGAAAACTGAGCAGGTGGCTGAGGAGGAGGCGGGCAGTAGAGAGGGGGCAGAGGGATGCAGGAGCTGAAGAGGGCTAGAAGCTCATTCCTGGGTCTCTTCCTCTTGTCTTTCAAACCTTTATCCCTGATGGCCAAGGACCTGGCTTTTTCATCAGTGGGGGATGCGTCCTCCTAGTCTGCTTAAGCTAGCTGGAGGTGGGGACGGGGAAAGAAGAGGACTGTGGAAAGGGATGGTGGGGTGAATATTTAGAGCTAGGAAGACACTGCCATTCTAATGTTGCGGCCCCTGCCTCTGAGCCTGAAAACAGCACAATAACAGCCTTGTCAGCCGTAGCTGCTGTGTTTACTCTCTGAGGCAGTGATCACATGCAGCCTGCGTGACAGTGGAGGGAGAGGGAAGGGGCTTGTGCAAGGCTGGCAGGATCCTGATTCTGGCTCTACGGTTGGTACTTGCACAGGAAGTGATGGCGCTTGCTGCATTCTTCGCTGTTCCAAGTCAAAAACTCTGTAAGAAAAGAAACATTCACTTAAATCTTTCTGGTTCAGTGTTGAGTTCACCAGTGTTATCTGGATCTTTTGCTTGGAACCATCGGGAAAGGTACCGTGATGGTTAATCTTATGTGTTAACTTGGATAGGATATGGTACCCAGTTGTTTGTTCAAACACCAGTCTACATGTTGTTGTTGTTTTATTTGTTTGTTGGTTTTGGATGTGACTGGCATTCAAATCAGCAGACTTTGAGTAAAGCAGGTTACCCTCCAAAATGTGGTAATCAGTGAAGGCCTTAAGAGACTGAGTTTCCTGGAAGAGGAAGGAATTCTACCTTCAGACTACCTTCAGACTCAAGACTGCAGCGTCAACTCTTGCAGGAACGCCCAGCCTGCTGACCTGCCCTGTGGGTCTCAGATTTGCCAGCCCTGATAACTGCATGAACCAATTCCTTAAAACAAATCCATCTCTCTCTCTCTCTCTCTCTCTCTCTCTCTCTCTCTCTCCCTCTCTCTCTCCATTCTGTTACTTCTGTTTCTCTGGAGAACGCTGACTAATACAAGCACTCACTTTGCTAACAGAAAGAAAAATAACTTAAAGGTCACAGGCAACTTCAGGAGCTCCATAGCAGAACTTTTCTGGGGGAAGGAAGGGCTTGACATACATTCACTGAAAACAAGGGATTCTCTTGTGTTGGAAAACAGGATGCTGTAAGGAACAGAGAGTGATTTTTCCTAATGTCCACAACTGAGGCCCCATGAGGCTCCAGTCTGAAGTTCAAAGAATTGAAAGTGGCTGAAGCCAGCCACATCCCCAGAAAAGCCACTTGTACAAAGAAGGACTGAGAGGAGGGAAGAGGTGGTCTTTGGAAAGAATGAAGTATTTTTGAGAAGTCCAATTATCGCCTTCCAGCAGTCGAGTTCC